GAATGCAGGTGTTTTTTTTTCGTTGGTAGGTCTCATTGAGCTTGTCCTTTTGAAAAGTAGATCTCGGAACGAAAAATTGTGGGTGCCCCGATCTAGGACAACATAACTGATTTTGAAAAATTCTTCAATTCAGCTTACTTTCCAGTTTAGCTCTGTTGTCCTAGATTGTTCAATTCTCCTGCCTTCTCCAAACTCTTCACCCTTTTGTGAATAACCCTGCTAGTTTCTTAAAGCACTATGTATTATGCTGTGATGCTTAATACATGTTTTCACTGTTTTTAATTTCTTTGTTGCACTTCAGTGCTGCTGTCCAAATGCATTCACTCCAGTGATGGCTCTATGGCTTTTCTTGGGGCGGATTTCCTAATGGTGACAGCCGTGGACCATGTCCACACAATCGGGGAAATTTATCAAAGCTGGAGCAGACAGAATCTGGAGCAGTTGCCCATGGCAACCAATCAGCATGTCTTCAGATTTGAAAATGAAACCGAGAAGCTGATTGGTTGCAGTGCAAATATGCTCCAGATTTTGTCTGCTCCAGTTCTGATTAAGGAGAATTTATGTGTTTTGAAACAGCTTCTTGTAGTCTCCATCAGAAGCCCAAGTGACTGGATACCAATGCAGGAGCACTGTTGTCTCAACCACTAATTTATGTATTTGAACATACCTCCTGACACTAGTCTCTAGGCATAGTATGACAACCTACTGAGGTGGTGGTATCCATTGGCAACATTCTACTCCGAGTGGAATCCAATGTTGTTTCAGGTTTGACAATACAAAGGATGTTATTCCTTTGTCATTCTTAGAGGTGGAAAGACATTGGAACACCATTTATAGAACCCTCTTAACACTGTGAGAGATGAAGTTAAAAGAAGTTGTGGAGGAGAGGCTGGGCATATCTACTAGAAGGCTGTGCCAATTTACAAAAAACAATAGGGGTGAAATGGTGGAAGATAACAATGTATGCAGACAACAGGTGTACTAATGCTAATCTACCGCTAGTTGTCAGGAATATACCAGAACATAATGATATACAATGCAATACATAGCAGTTTATCAACAATAACAGAAAATAACAGTGGCTGTGTCAGCACAAACATGATTGGGAGACAACATTCTGTTCCTATACCAATTAGTTCCCTGAACTGCCATGGCAAGGTCACAAGGTATTATTTAAATGAAAACTGCATATTTAATCATTGCAATAACATGAACATGTAAAAGTGGAGCTAAACTGAAAACATTTGTATGTCTCTTCTGCAAAAAACAAGGGGTTATTGCAAGAGAGACTGCAATTGCCTGTTCACAATCTGCCTTAGTATATACACTGAGATGTCCATGCGCAGCTCATTATAACATTCTTGGCACACCTCTCTGCCTGGATGAATGAACTCCCATGCATATGTGAATACGTTGCATCATCCCTGATGGCCAATCAAGATGACTGAAGATTCAGCACCTGGAAGAAAGCGGGAAGAAGATGTTGGCGTTAAATTTTAAAAATGCATTTGAGTACCTTTTAATAATTATCAACAAAAATGTATCTTATTTCTTCATCACTCAGCTGGGGATCCTCAAATCATTTCTGAATTCATGCCGGTGATCGATCGAAAGTTCGAACTTATCGAGTTCTGGGATGCATTACTTCCGGTTTCCTTAGAACTACGAGGTTTGCACACAAAACTTCTTCTGCACGAGCGCCATCCGCTGCATTGCTCTATACACATGCACCACAGCAATAAAGTAATAAAATGAAGTCGGATCACAGTAATCAAGCAAAGGTGATCAGTGCCAGTAAGTGTAATGTGAAAATAAGAGCTACCAAGCACTAAGGATATAACTAAATATCTGAACATTTTTTAAAATATTGTGCCGAGCTAATAATCATACAGATCTAATAAATTGAAACATATATAAGTGAGTAACATATATGAGCCTTCAAACAAATGAAGCATAGAAAATATCTACAAGACAATGCTGGATCAGACCAGCAGGGCAAATGGCAGCAAAAGCGATAAAAAAACCTGTTCATCCGGCTCAGCTCAGTGCGGTAACATCAGAAGCTCTGCCCTACGTACGTTACGTCAAAACACGTGACTTCATCAGGGGTCTGGAGCTACTGATGTCTTGAAGTCTATTTAACAGAAAAGCATACTACCGTAAAGGCAGTAAACCAGGTGCACTTTCTTTACCATATATATGGAAATAGCACCATCAGCAGAGACAACACAGGCCAGAGCACAGAAGAAAGGGAAATAGATCAAATTAAATAAAAAATACATAAAAGTTATAAAACCAACAACATAGAGCATAAAGGAGGAGCCTAAGCACCAAATCCATATAAAATCATACAAATAAATATATCCCATATAATACTATACAGATAGGCCAACTAATAGGCCTACAGGGGGCAGATAACCAAAAAAATTTATATATATAAATCTAAAAAATGGGAATGACATGTAAAAAAATAGCATATATAAAATGGACGCAAAAAACCTAGTATGTAAAAATAACAAAATGTATAAAACCACTCCTGCTCCTAAAAATGTCAGGCATTAGATATGAAACAATTTAGGTTGAATTCTGCATTAAGTCCATAGGGCTTCAAAGAACCTGCTTTAAAAATCCATTGGGTTTCTTTTCGCTAACTGGCGTTTCCAATTCCCCCCTCTCCAGTGCGGTAATACTGTATGTATAGTAGCTTCGGCTACATATAGTATACCGCGCGGAGCCAATCATGGCAGGCTTTGTATTCATT